AACAATAAGAATGACTAAGGTAAAGATGTCACTGACATCCCCATGACCACAACATAAATTCAGTCCAAATTAAAAGCCATCATCTTCCAGGCTTCCATTTCTTTGACCTGCACCTAGGTATTTTTCTTTCTCATTTGAGTATACAAAGCCAACCTTCTTCACTTTCATACTCTTTTTCTAAGATCATAAAAACTTAAGTCCCTATTCCATAAATACACTCATTCAACACAATTTATATGTAGAATATATGAATCAGTGGTATCATCAGAAAAGGGAAAGGAATATGCATTGAATCTTGGGATGAGATATCACTGAGAGCTATAATGAACCTTCCAGATTATTTATACCAGCAATTTTATTTTATTGGTAAGGAAATTCAAAGGTCTGAGAAGTTAAGCAGCATACTTCAGGATACACAACAAAGTGCAAGTACTGAACTGGAACACTGGTATCTTGACTGCCATTTCGTGTTTCTGCTACTACACCACAATGATTTCACCTACATAAGTAGTCATAGTAACAGTATAATGAAACAATACTTCAAAAAGGAGAATTAAGATTATGTTGATGATAATTATATTACTAAGCACCTGCTTGGATATGCCATTCTTTCTTTCATCCAAATTACTAAAATAGAATACAAAGCACTTAAAAAGATACAACTGCTATATTATAGTAACTTATAAAGAAGAAATGACCATGGTTATAATATAAATAATTGCCAGAAATGTACCTAATTATGGAACATTTTCAGAAAGTAAGCATTTGCTTTATAAAAAATTAAGTGGCAAGGTTTTCTCTGATTTGAAAGAGAAGAAATCAAAGGAGGTCAGGAAAAGTTGAATATGCACTTTTATTTTTGTTTAAAAGAGAGTAAAAATTTTAAGTGGATACTTTATGTGAATTTTTTAATGTAGAAAGTTATAGAGGCATAAGGAGTTCTAAGAGAGAATCAAATAAAAAGGTAATTCAACAATGAACCCTGTTTATTACATTCTTACTATGTAACAGATGTTTCCTGGCTCTGGGTGGTAAAAGAAAATAAGACCTAGCTTTGGATCTTAGGAATCTCAAGACTAATATTGAAACGAATTTATACTATTTAGTAAACTACAATATAGGTAGAAATATATGTAGAAAACATGATACAGAGGAAGTACAAAAAAGGAATTTGTTTGCTCAACCCACCAATGTCAAGAAAGGCCCTGCCAAGAAATGATGACTAATATTGGTGTCAAAAGTTAAGAGTTCACCATAGAGACATGAGGAATATTATATCTCAGCAGGGGAAGCAGTCTGTTTAATGGTTTGGGGACATCAAACAACATGACATGTTTGAGCAAGGGCCAAAATTTTTCCTTTTCGATTATGCTTAGAATGTTTCAGGAGATGAGGATATAGAATTAGATAGACAGCAGGACTTGGGAAGCCTTGCTCTACATAACACATCAAACAGATTTTTCATAAGAAGTGAAACATACACATGGACGAGAACAAGAAAAACAAAAGAAATGTACAAATCTGGGTTTATTTTGGTGAAATCTGTTGAAGCAAACCTCAGGATCATGATCTTATATATATTGTAGTGAAAAGTAATGCTTTAGGAAAGACAGAAAATCATCCACTTTATAACAGAGTGAATCAGTTATACATATACATATGTTCCCATATCTCCTCCCTCTTTGTCTCCCTCCCTCCCACCCTCCCTATCCCACCCCTCCAGACAGCCACAAAGAACCGAGCCGGTTTCCCTGTGCCATGCGGCTGCTTCCCACTGGCTATCTACCTTACGTTTGTTAGTATATATATGTCCATGTCTCTCTCTCGCCCTATCACACCTCACCCTTCCCCCTCCCCATATCCTCAAGTCTGTTCTCCAGTAGGTCTGTGTCTTTATTCCTGTTTTACCCCTAGGTTCTTCATGACATTTTTTTTTCTTAAATTCCATATATATGTGTTAGCGTACGGCATTTGTCCTTCTCTTTCTGACTTACTTCACTCTGTATGACAGGAGACAAAGAGGGAAGAGATATGGGAACATATGTATATGTATAACTGATTCACTCTGTTATAAAGCAGAAACTAACACACCATTGTAAAGCAATTATACCCCAATAAAGATGTTAAAAAATAAAAAAATTAAAAAAAATTTTTAAAAAAAGAATGTTTTGTCAAAAAAAATATGACCAAACAACAGAAGATTCCTATACCCTATAACTGTATCTATCAATAAAAGCAAGTACAAGTTGAAAAAAAAAAAAAAGAAAAGAAAATCATCCACAATCGCAACATCATTTACCTTGACTTCTTGAAAGGTAGTAGCATCACACTCCCCTCTACATGCCCCTTCTCACTTTCGTTTCCATGAAAAACCCCTCACTCCAACTTTTCTTCCTAGATATCTAAACTCTTTGCTGCCATCGTGCCCATAACTTTGTGACTTGAGGATGTAGTGGGATTGTAAAAAATTCCTCAGCAAATAGTAGTACAGCCAGGGAAAGA